CCACCCCCACAGCTGTCTTTATTTAGTACTAAATTTAGAGCAGATGGAGAAACCAGCAAGCAAGACAATGCCTGCATCTGCTAATAAATTAATACTTGCTGAGCCAAGCAAGTAGAGAAATCTAGAGTGGCCTCTACATGTTAGCTGAGCTACAAAGAAGGCGAGGCCTCCTGCTTTTGAAGAATTTATAATCTATACAATCCTATATAATAAAAGCCTAATATACCAATCAACCAAACAGCAGAACGACTGGTGGAACAACCGGTCACTATGATGTGCACTGGCCACCAGGGGGCAGACGCTCAATGCAGGAGCTGCCCCCAGGACACAGGCCCCAGGCCAGCCAAGGCGGGTGCCAGCAGGGGCCTCCCAATCGCCCCGCCGTTCACCCCTCAGAGGAAGGCGACCGGTGGCGGGGCGATTGGGGAGTGGGGCTGGCGCCAGCCCCCGATTGCCCCACAGGAATGGGCGGCACAAGACCGGCCAAGGCAGGTGCCAGTGGGGGCCCCCTAATCACTCTGCCAGTCACCCCACAGATCTGCCCTGATCGTCGGCCAGGCCTAGAGACCCTGCAATTTTGTGCATTGGGCCTCTAGTTTAGACATAATATTGTTTGCTAACATTTATTGAGGACTTACTTTGTGCCAAGCACTATTCTAAGTGCTTTATTCATATCAACTCATTTAATCTTCCTAACAATCCTGTGAAATACATGCTGTTATACTATCCAGTTTACAGAGGAGGACACTGAGTCTCACAGAGATTAAGTGACTTTGCCCAAAAGGTCACATGGCCAGTGGTCATATGGCCAGTGACAGAGCCGGGGTTCTAAAGCCCATGCTCTCAGTCACCATGCTGAAGTGTTCTCCTAGAAAGACACAGACAGGAATAGGTTGTCCCTATGACTTCATTTTATGTTTACCAGGTGTTCTTTGTTATTTTTGAGAAGTACGCCTACCCCTCTTAGAATGTCCCACAGGTCTGTATCACAGGTCTTATGCTGAGCCTTGCGTATAATAGGTGCTCAATTGGTATTTATTGGTTTGATCATGGGCAATATTATTTTGAATATAATGGCCATAAGAACTTAAGGAAGTTGACCAACGCCATGAGAGATGTGTCAGAGCCTGGTTCGACCAAGTCCTGCACCCTTTCTGTCTGTCCACACTACATTGGGAGCCACCTCTGTTCCCTCTTGTCTCTCTCTGGAGGCTGTAAGCAACTTGAGGTTCAGCATAGTGTCCAGGTCATCACTGCATCCTCAGTGACCAGGCCAGGGGCTGGGAGGGCATTTCTTTGTGAGTGACAGGAACCCAGCTGGCATTTGTGAAAGCAGGAAGCGATGTGTTCGAAGCATGCCGGGGGAGCTCGTGGGTTAAGGGAAGAGAAAGAAGCAGAGGAGGTCCAGAGACTGAACCCAGGGCTCTATGCTGCCGGGCTGCCTTTCTTTCCACCTATTCTTGCCTCTGCCTGTATTCCTATGGTAGGAGGCCTCCAAGATGGCCCCACAATCACCCCTGTATAATCCCTTTCCGTTGAGTGTGAGCTGGACTGATTCCCTTCTAATGACTACAATATGGAAGAAGCAATGGGATGTCACTTTCCAGGTGAAGTTATGAAAAGACTGTGCACCCCTGTCGAGTGCTCGCTTGCTCTTGCTGGTCCTGTGGGAAACCAACTGCCATGCCAAGGGGCAGCCCCATGGAGAGGTCCATGTGGCCAGGGACCACGGTCTGCCAACAATCCCAGGAGAAGGCTTGAAAGGGGCTCCCCTCAGTGGAGCCCTCAGAAGTCATCACAGCTCTAGCTGGCAGCCTGACTACAACCTCATGGGAGAACTAGAGCCAGCAGCACCCAGCTAAGCGGTGCCCAGAGTCCTGACCTACCAAAGCTGTGAGACAATAAATCATAATATTTTGTGGTAATCTGTTATGAAGCAACAGCAGTGGCACTACTGTTGAATTCTAGATCCAAATCCTTTATCAGCTCTTGGTATTGCAAATATGTTCCACCACTCTGCGGCTTACCTACTCACTCTTTTGATAGCGTCTTCTATCAATATAAGTTCCTAATTTTAATGTCCAATTTAACAATCTGTTTTCTTTACTGTTAGCACTTGTATTCTGTTTAAGAAATCTTCCCTTACCCCAAGTCCAGGAGTTATTCCATCTTATCTTTACATTTACATATAAAGTCCATCTGAAAATGATTTTTGTGTATTCAGGGAGGAATCAAGGTCATTACTTCTCACTATGGACATCTGATTGACCCTCACTTATTGAAAAGACAATCCTTTCCCTATTGCTTAGGAATTTCATATTTGTCATAAATAAAATACTATGTATGTGTGGTGTTTTTTTTTCTTCAGGACTTTATTTCACTCCATTATGTCTTCCTTACAATAATAACACATTATATCTGGTAGTGAAGTCTCCTAATGCTATTCTTTCAAGATTTTCCTGGCTATCCTTGGTCCTTTGCATGTCCATATAAACTTCAGAAACAGCTTATCAATTTCCTCATCTATATCCACATAAAAACCTGCAGAGCTTTTGATTGACATTGAAACTACAGATAAATTTAGGAAAAAAAATGACATTTTTTCCAATACTAAATTTTCCAAATTTATTAAGATGGTGTGCTGTTCTGTATATTTGAGTCTTCTTTAATATATCTGAATACTTTTTAATTTTCAATAGAGAAGTCTTATATATTTTTCTTTAGATTTATTCCTAAATTTTTGATGGCTTCAATGCTCCTGTAAATGGTGTCATTTAAATTTTTTCAACTCGTTTGTTGTTGGAATATAGAAACAAAATTGTTTTTCTTTATTCTAATTGAATACCCAGCAACCTTGCTAAATTCACTAGTTAATCCTAACAGGTTATCTCCTTTATTCTTTTGGATTTTCTATGTACATAATCATATCATCTGCTAACAATGAGTTTTATTTCTTCCTTTTATTTATTTATTGATAGAATGACTTGAGAGGGTGAGAAAGAGAGAAACATCAGTTTGTTGTTCCACTTACTTATGCATTCATTGGTTGATTCTGGTATGTGCCCGGACCAGGCAATGGACCCCACAACCTTGATATATTGGGACGATGCTCTAACCAACAGAGCTATCCGGCCAGGGCAGGGTCTTATTTCTTTTTAAATCCTTATACCTTTTATTCATTTTTCTTGTCTTACTACACTAAGACCTTCAAAGCAAAGTTGTATAGAAGTGGTACTCAGTGGGCATCCTGTCTATTTCTGATATCAGGAGGAAAGCTTTCAATATTTTATTGTTAAATATATGTAATATTTATTGTATTTTTTGCAGATATTTATCAGATTAAGGGCATTCCCTATTCTTAATATGCAAAAGTTCTTATAATGAGTAATAGGTTTTTATCAATAATGTACCTATCAAGATCATCTTACCAGTTTTCCCCCATTAATTATATTAATGTGGCATATAATACTGATTTTCAAATGTTAAACAAACCTTCCCTTCCTGGAATAAACTCCTTTTTCCAAGATATCTTATTCTTTATACATTACTGGATTCAATTAGCTAATTACTTTCTTTAGGGTTTTTATAAGAGAAATTAGTCTGTAATTTTCCTTTCTTTTAACATCCTTAAATGTTGGCATCAAGGTTATACTGACCTCATAAAATGAGTTGGGAAGTGTTCCCTCTTTTCTATTTTCTGGAAGTGTTTGTGGAATAAAGGTATATTTCTTCCCTAATTGTTTAGAATGAGTCACTAGCAAAACCATCTGGGCCTGGAGGTGGTTTGTTTTTGTTTTTAGAAGAGTTTTAATCACAAATTCACTTTCTTTAATAAATAGAAAATCTGAGTAGTCACCATTTTTTCCTTGTGTCACTTCTGGAAAATTGTGTTTTTCTCTTAAGAAAGTTGTTTTAGTAATTTTAGCTAAAATTAAAGTTACTTATAGTATCCTCTTTTAACTTATTAATAAGATCTGTAGCAATTTCTCCTTTTTCATTCCTAATGTAAGCATATTGTAAATAATCTATCATTGGACTGACTGATGAATGGATAAAAACACGTGGTATATTCATACAATGGAATATTTGGCCATAAAAAGGAATGAAGTACATACTGATATAAGCTACAACTTGGATACATCTTGAAAACATTATGCTAAGTGAAAGAAGCCAGTCACACAGGACCACATATTGTATGATTCAATTGATATGAAGTATCCAGAATAGGCAAATCTATAGAGACAGAGAGTAAATTAGTGGTTAGAAAGTAGATTAGTGGTAGAAAATAGCTTAGGGCTGGGAGCTTGGGAGGAAAGTGGGAGTGACTGCCAAAGGGTATGGGGTTTCTTTGGGGGATAATGAAAATGTCCTAAAATTGACAGTGGTGATGGCTGCCCAGCTCTGGGAAAAGATGAAAACCCATTGAGTTGTATGGTATGTGAATCATAGCTCAATAAAGATGTTTTTAAAAATCTATCTTTAGACAGATGAGATATACTCCTTGATCTGGATTTGATTAGATCCTCCTTCAATTTTGTTCAAAGCAACAAATTGGAAACTACCCAACTTGCAAAAGAATGTATCTAATCATTCAGGTTCCAACCCCAATACCAGTATTCCAGTTATCTCTTTCTTTGGTATCCCAGCTGCTTGTCATCTGGACTGGAGCACTGTGCAGTGGAACCAGCAGACCCTGTCTACCACTAGTTCCCAGGAAGATGGACTTTAGGAAATATTTCATATGAAAGAATGCCTGTGTATCTTCAGAAAAGTCTTTGCCTAACCCCAGGGGTACAAATACCCTAGTTCAGCGGTTTTCAACCTGTGGGTCGTGACCCCTTTGGGGGTCGAATGACCCTTTCACGGGGGTCGCCTAAGACCATCGGAAAACACATATATAATTACATATTGTTTTGTGATTAATCACTATGCTTTAATTATGTTCAATTTGTAACAATGAAAATACATCCTGCATATCAGATATTTACATGACGATTCATAACAGTAGCAAAATGACAGTTACGAAGCAGCAACGAAAATAACTTTATGGTTGGGGGTCACCACAACATGAGGAACTGTATTAAAGGGTCGCGGCATTAGGAAGGTTGAGAACCACTGCCCTAGTTTGAAGACCACGGCAGCAGATCACACTGCCTTTCAGCAAAGGCATATGGGGGAGGAAACCTATCGTGTTCCAGGACGCACTGGCTGTATGAAGATGTGTTCCACGGCAAGGCTGCGGGTGAGCCAGTGAGGATCAGCATTCGGGCTGCTCACCCAGACGTGGGTGTCTCGACAAGGTCAACCCCAGTCCAGGATGTCTGACAGGGATACGGCCTCCTGTGGACAAGCCTATGACCTCTGGAAGGCACGGCAATGCAGAGAACCACCTAGACAAAATACCCTTGGTTTCATTTTGGTGACACTGAAGGCCTAAATGGGGCTCAGCTCCACCTGAGGCTGCCTGCAGTTTCTGGAAGTGGCAGGGGTATTTATTTAGCTGGAAACTTGATCCCTTGCCTTTCCCTTTTTACTTTTTTGTGGGCGAATTTAATCTTTGTACCTGCCAAGTCTGCTGCGTACATAATTAGCACGCTGACATCTGAGCAACAGTGTTTCTCTGCTAGCTTTACTTAGGAGTCGAAATATTTTTTCTCTTTGGGTAAACTTGGGCGCCCTCCTCAACTTCCTTGTTATCCTGGATTTAACAGCTTTTTAATCCGGAAAATATGTCCATCATTCTGTGTCCACATGTCACCTGGAGTTACCCTGTCCCAACACAGGAAGGCCTGGCATTTAGTTGGTTTTCAGTGAATGGGACACCACCAAACCAGGTGTTTAAACATTTTTGAACAAATACAGGAATGAAATGGACTAGGCACAGACCTTCACTTGAAGCTCTAAAGTTTGCACATTCATGATATCAAGACCTCGTTTCTTTCAATACACATTTCTGGGTGCTGCTCTGGGTGGGTGTTTCTGAGAATGGAGAGGTGACTAAGATACAGGCTTTACCCTCAAGAGCTCCATGCAGCAGCAGAGGTACTAGTATTAGCCATTCCCTGTTGTACAGGTTTGGTCACAGAGTAAGTGTCTAATAAATGCTTGTTTGAAAAGAGTTCAGGAACCAAGTTTCACTTTAAGCCTGGTCAAACGTTGGTACTTTGCCAGGCCGGCAGCCTAGAGTAGGGCAGAATCGGGCTGTTGTGAAGACGGCTTCAGAATGACTGAGATCCTGAGTTACTAGACCATCTTATCACTACACTAGGGACTCCAGAACCATCCAGGAGTCAAAAAATTTTACTAGAGAAGCCCCAGAACTCAAAGGAATTTAATAGTTTACACCATCACAATACTTTTAAATACCCTATATAATACAAGAGTAATAGGCAAATCGACTGAACGGTGGAACTACTGGTAGTGGTGGTGGTGGTGGGGGGGGGGGACAGCCAAGGTGCAAGCCAGCAGGCAGAGGGCGGGGACAGCAATGGGGGGCAGCAGTGACCAGCGGTGGCAGAGGTGTGATGAAAGGGGTGGGGCTGCTCAGCCAGCCAGTGCCGTCCCGATTGGCCCACCTGGTAGCCTCCCGCAGAGGCTCCCAGACTGCCAGAGGGCACAGGCCGGGCTGAGGGACACCCTGCCCAAGTGCACGAATTTTTGTGCACTGAGCCTCTAGTGTACTCTAAAACTCTGGGTTCTTGAGATGGAAATAGATAGTATGTGATGAAATAGGACTGAGAAGGGGGTTCAATAGAGTTGACAGCCCTGTACTGAAAGACGTCTCAACACCGTGAAGCAAGGTGATGTACTCCTTTTACGCACTGTCTCACTTAATTTTTGCAATAATCCTGGGAGGCAAGTCTTATTTTTTCCTATTTTAGAGATGAGCAAGCGGAAGCTCAGAGAGAGTAACTAATCTGCTCCAGACCACACAGGTTCCACCGTACGGAACAAAATGGAACCCAGAAATCAGGTCTTTCTGACACCAAAACTGATTTATGAACACTCAAGCAGTACTGTTTTTAATATAGCAAAGGGCATTAGGACACTCCCACAGGAACACATAGCATAAAGGATTTCCCAAACTGATTTGATTAGGGAACCCTTTTGAATGAACCAGTACTTGAGACTAGCTTTCCATATAACACATTTTGAGAAATATTGGGGTCTAATGAGTCAGATACCCCATGGCAGAAAGGAGGTAGAAGGCACGTGAGAAGGAAAAGCTATTCTAGAAAGGACATTTATTAAAAATGTGCTCAAAGAATTACTAATAGGAATATGTAAATTAAGTGCAGTTGAATAGGTATCATTTCTTTACCTCCACATTCGTAAGTTCCAGCTATGGCTCATTTCTGTCAAATAATATTTGATATTACATTCCAATTCACTTAGCTAGTTCTTTAGGATTTGTTGTAGAATATGCTTTACCTAGTAGTTCAATTCATTATGTCATGGATTTTGAAAAAGTATATTCATATTGGGAGCCTACATTTTAATTTGCTATGTATCTCAACAGGCCTGCAATTTGTATTTTGGGGTGAGATAATTCTTCATTGTACAGAGCTGACCCAAACTTTACAGAATCTAGCATCCCTGGCTCCTACTGCTAAATATCAGTAGTACTCTCCCTCCACCTCCCAGTCATTTCTTTTTCGTTGTTGTTGTTAATCCACACCTGAGGATATTTTTTCCATTGAGAGAGTGGAAGAAAGGGAGGGGGAGAGAGAGAGGAAGAGAGAGAAACATTGATTGAGAGAGACACATCAACTGGTTACCTCCTGTACGCACCCCAATTGGGGCCCAGAATCGAACCCAAGAACCTTCGGTTTGCAGGCCAACACTCTTAACCACTGAAAAACACCGGCCAGTCATTTTGACAAGAAACATCCCCACAATTTCAAAACCCCACCTAGGGGAGCGGTATTACCTGAGCTGAGGACCACACGTTTAGAGCAAACAGGAAAGTTCAATAACACATTAATTAAAGGATAAACACCTAGCCTGACCCTGCAGTCAGCACTCCAGCCAAGAGTTCAAGATCCAACATGCCGGCTTCAATCCTGCGTGTCCAATGTCTCCTTCTACTTCTCTCTATCCTGTTAATAACATGAACAGGTTCAACACAAACTGCCAAAATACCATTTTTAGCCACGAGGGCCAAGCCCTGCGTACTTTGCCAATAACAGCAATAAAGCTGGCAGAAGCTAAGCCCAGGACTGCCTGGGGTACATCTGAGGCAGCAGCCCAAAACGTAAAGGACACCTGAAGAGGCTATCACTTTGTCAAACTGGGCTTTAAAAAGGATGCTAGCTTTTGTTTTATTTTTGAAGTGATTTTTTTTAATATATATTTTATTGATTTTTTTACAGAGAGGAAGGGAGAGAGATAGAGAGTTAGAAACATCGATGAGAGAGAAACATCGATCAGCTGCCTCCTGCACATCTCCCACTGGGGATATGCCCGCAACCCAGGTACATGCCCTTGGCCGGAATCGAACCTGGGACCTTTCAGTCTGCAGGCCGATGCTCTATCCACTGAGCCAAACCGGTTTCGGCTGAAGTGATTTATTATAAAAACACTTGCTCCCTCTCACTGCTGGATCAGTTCAGCAATGACACTCCATCATTTTTAGGATTATGGGACCCAAATAATTTTACACCAAAACAACAAACTTTGTTGGTTCAGTAACATATTCGTGGACATGTCGGTATGTATCCAGGAATGCTGGCTTCACTTCTTGATTGGAATGCCAATCACCATAAAATCCTCTGCTAGAGTCACCTCTTGGAAATCTAACACTGATTCGGCCTGCTTTTTCAGCTCTACAGTCCCATCTGCCTCTCCTTCTCTGGCCAAGGCAACTGGTTTGTACCTCTGACTGAAGTGAGTCAGAACCAGCCTCTTTGCGCGGCACCGCTTCGCGAACGCTGCTGCCATCTGGGGCGTGCTGTGGCCGTGCTCCTTCGCCTTGTCCATCTGGGCGTCATCCAGGGTGGCTTCATGGATCAACAGGTCTGCCTCAAAGCACAGCTTCACGCCCCCATCGCCCACCACCCCGGAACAGTCACCCAGAATGCAGATTTTTCTTCCAACAATGGGCTTTTTTAAGACATCCTGGGGAGAAATTGTAACTCCATTTTCCAGAACAACAGAAATTCCGTTTTTCAGCTTCCCATAGGCAGGACCTGGCGGAACACCTAATAATGATGGAGGCAGATAACATCACATCAGGGGAATGGAATTTATGACTTGTTAAGAGAGTCTGTTTTAGCAGCAACGCAAATAGCAAATGGAAAAGGCATCTATTTTTTTCATAATTTGTCTAAATATTTTATTATTTGTGGGAAACTGGAATATTTACACTTTGTTAAAAGTTCCATGTTGGCAATGCCATAGCACTTAAAACATTTCCCAAGAACATGTGTCAGATAAGTTTTAAGCTCAGTCCCACTGCAACATTATTACAGTCAAGATAACAGCCTCGATGCTCCGCTGTGTGCGGGATTCAGTTCTGGAGAGTGCTTTATTTAATAAGCTCATCTCTGGGCAAAACTTAAGAGCCCATTTAAGTAATGACAAGGTACTTATACACTGAATAGCTTAATAAAATAATCTTCTTCATGTGTAGTGACGGTTCCACCTTTACCAAACAGGGCTTAAATCTCATTAATCTAGAATAGTATCTGATTATCACTGTGGATAATACCTACAAACAAATAGGAAGTGCTTACTAATCCCAACGTAGATTATGTTTAAAATTTCCCAATGTAAGAATATTTCCACAGGATTTTAGATAGTAAAAATACCTTTGGCCTAAGTTATCTTTCCTCATTATTTCGCATTTTGTTTTAGTTGGAAATGAAGGAAGAGGCTGAGTAAATAAAGTAACAAAGACACAAAAGACTCCATCATGCTTTGCAGAGGCTCTGCCCTGGCCATGCCAAGGAAGGCGGAGATGCTGGCGGTACGACACGCCTGGGCACCGCTTCCAGAGCCGCTGCAGACCCCCAGGCATGAAGGCCTCGCACGCAGGAGGTAGAAGCCTCGGACGGGCCCCAGGCCTCACTTTGTGTGCTTGTATTCTCCCGTGATGAACCCAGGTACATAAAAGGGTGAGGCAAAGGATACAGAACACTACACTGACTTAATCACGGCAGAAAAGGAAAACCCTGAAAGTAAGTGGTTGCAGTTGAAGATTAAGATACGGCAAAAATTCTCAAGGCGAAGATGTCACTGAAAACATCTTTTAAGAGAGACATGAAAAAACAAAGCCTAGACCTAAGACAACAACCACTCCCCTGCCAAGCAAGGGTGTAAGTAGAAGATAAGCCACACTAAGAATGTGCATCAGGGGAGCAGCAGAGAGAAGGATTAACTTATATATACTTGGGTTTTGCTCTGTATAGCATCTTTTGGTGCCAGGAATCTCCCTTATTAAGCAAACTCTGGGCAAAGGAAATAAGTGGAGAAAATGTCAATTTTAGGCCTGGGAGACAGGAAAGGAAGGTTGCTATAACACTTCCCAGAGCTTCAGTGACCACCAGCTTGATTGACACGAAGAGAAGAAAACACTTACCGAGGTCTTTCAGCTTCTGTGCATTGAGTTTACCTGGGCGCTTCTTCTCCACCACTGAAAACCCAAAGGAGGGGATTCGGTGAAAGAGGCGAAATGCTTTTACAACAAACTGCTCGTCATCGACCAGAAGGTATGAGTTTTCTTCCGAGTCCAGCAGGATAGTCCTTCCCAGTCCCTCTTTGGGAGAGCTGTCTGCTCCACCCAGGTGTGCAAACTCTTTCAGTTCTTCTGCAGGACACTGATCTGCTGTAGGCACCAGCTCGTGGACCACGTACGGGAAGACCAACTCCGTGTGAGAGAGTTCCATGGTTCGCCAGATGAAGTCCCGGAGGCCTGCGGGGCCATAGATCTCAATGGGCTGTTTGGTGGCCGTGGAGCCACTCTGCAGGCTGATGGTGCAGAGGAGGCCAGGAAGGCCAAAGAAATGGTCTCCATGAAGATGTGTGATGAAGATCTTGGTAATTCTCCCTTTCGATTGAGGGGAAAAAATAAAATTGGGAATTTTTCAGAAGTAAAGACCCATACAAAGGTACTTGAAAGACACATAACAACTTGCATAGAAAGCAGTAAAATGAATTTAGAGCTTTACTTATCACTATAAATTTATTTTTAAATATTTTTTCTACATGATTCCAGAAGCAAGAAAGACAGGCTTTCTTTTACTAGATGGTTTTAGTAAGACAACTTTTTCATAAAACATCTTCAAATTACATAGTGTTACAGTTTTCAGAGTATTTTCTTATATATCCTTTTACAAAAAAAAAAAAAAAAGTTGCAATAAGGAAGTGTACCAAAATAATTCACTTAAGTAACTAGATAGGCCTCAGGTGCCAAAAGCATCTGACAGTTACACTGCCCCCTACTGCTCCCTCTGAGAATAGCAAATATGTATTTCCAGCAAAACAAGTTCTCCGCTTCGATCAACTGGACCAGTGCCTGAACCCCAAACTGCCTTTTAAGGACTCTCTACACTGGCCAGAGATTAACTAACCAGGTCAGAGCCTGCTTGTCTGAGTGAGGTTTATGGGGAGGAGAAAAAGGAAGATGATGAGGGAGGCAGAGGCAAGGAGAGAGAGAGGGAGGTCAGAGAGCAAGGGGGTAAAGAATGAGAGGGGAGGTGGGCAACAGACACTAGACTGCAGCTCAGAGGGCAGTGCCGGTGCTACTTATGCCAAGGAACATGGGCCCATCTCTTCCCGTCACTCTGAACGAACACAACAGCTTTATCAGTGCACACTGGCTCAGGTTATAACTCGATTTACCTAAAGGTAGACTGACTTTACCGCTGGTATGTGGCAGGATGCCACATCAGCATTTCTTTGAGATGCACAAGGTATTTTAAAAGTAACAATCACAATAACACATGTTTAGGGTAACAGAGGCTCTGGTCTAAGCTCATGGCCCACCTCTTTCAAACATGTGCTGCCATAAAAGAACAGAAGCTGACTGATGCCATACGAGAACAGGGAGTTTACTGCCATGTGACTGTCCTGTGACGCCAAGGCAGAAGTGCTCTCCAAGCGAGTCTTCCGTTCTGCACCGAGCCCAGGCCTGTGGCTACGAACAACAGGTTGGCAGAGGCAGATTCTGAACCTCGAGAATCCCTCCATTTGCTCCTTTTTCTTTTCTCTGTCAGTCCTGTTTTTGCTGTCTTTTTGACTTTTGGAAACATGGCATTTCCCCTTTCCGCTGTCCGGGATGCCAGGCACTCACAAGTGGACCCGAGGCCTCTGCAGACAAGAGAACTACTACGGTGTTGAGTCCTGATCCATGCTGACCTCGGGTTTGCCACCTCAGACGCCCCGGCCTCTCCCTATCTACTGCAAAACAGAGCAAACTGAGCACCAAAACCACCTGCAAACCCAAAGTGAGTGAGACAATAGAAGAAAAATTGCTTCCCATGTTATCAGTTTCAGGGAAGACAAACATTGCATTTGTCAGGAAACTTGACTTTAGAGGGAGAAGGAATGGCAAACACCATTATCAAAGGTAAGAGGAAGCTATCCAATGAAGAAAGAAAAATGCACGAGTTCCCTTTTACCCAAGAACAAGAAAGTACAAGGGAATATGTCATCCGTATAGGAGTGGAATACTGAGCATCCTCTCTAAGTGATGCTGCAGTTGTATCTACTGCCCTTGGGAATGTCTGCAATATAGTCCTCGTATATGGTGTTCAGTTGAAAAAAAAGCAGATTTCAGGAAGTATAGTGATTTCATTTATGCAAAATTATACACACAAACACACACACTATACCTACACTGTTACCTTATCTGCATAAACAGAACTTTTACTTATGAGATGCAGATTTAGGCTTTTCTTTTTTGTTTGTTTGGGATTTTTTTTCTTGGTTTTTTGTGTTTTTTTTTTTTTAAATATATTTTATTGATTTTTTACAGAGAGGAAGGGAGAGAGACAGAGAGTTAGAAACATCGATGAGAGAGAAACATCGATCAGCTGCCTCCTGCACACCCTTTACTGGGGATGTGCCCGCAACCTAGGTACGCGCCCCCGACCAGAATCGAACCCGGGACCCCCGGTCCGCAGGCCGACGCTCTATCCACTGAGCCAAACCGGTTTCGGCTCTTGGTATTTTTTAAGGAATGGTTTATTGATTTTTAGAGAGAGGAAGGGGGAGGGGCAGAGAGAGCACAATATCGATGAGCTGCCTCCAATATACCTCCTTCTCGGGATCGAGCTGGTAACCTGGGCATGCGCCCTTGACCGGGAATCGAACCAGCAACCTCCAGATGCACTGGGTGACATACAACCAACTGAGCCATCCTGGCCAGGGCTAGGCTCTTCTTATTTACACGTTTCTGCTTTGTCTGAATTTTTACAATGAGCATGTATACTTTTTATAATTATTTTTAAGGGAAAAAAAGGAAGGCTAAGTCTTTAACATTATGACAGAAATGGACATGGCAAACCTATACTTGTTAATCAGATGCTTGTATTTTAGGACCATGGAAGCTTGAAAGATGTGTATTTAGATAAATACAAAGTACTTCCTTATGAAACTCATAAAATATTATTACCCCAGGAGGTAGTACAAACTAAAAGGGTTTCAATAAATCAAATAACAATAGGCCCATATTGTGTTACTGAGAGAAACCAATAACATCTTGGTGTTCTATAAGTCCCCCCCTTGAGTGTGGGTGGGACCTACGATTGGCTTCTAACCAGTAAAATATGACCCAGAGATACAATGTGATTTCATTATGTTTTAAGACTCCATATTGCTTGTAGATTTCCTCTTGAGTTTCTTTCTCCTTTGCTGGTACTACTCTAAGCTACATGAAGCACAAACCCACGTGACCAGAATGCCTCTAGGAGCTGTGGGAAGCCTTGGTTCTACAACTGTAAGGACTCTGCCAACAGCCTGAGTGAGTTCTGAAGCAGATTCTTCCCCACTTGAGCCTCTGATGAGACCTCAGCCTCAGCCAGTTACAAAACTGCAGCTTAGTGAGACCCTGAAGCAGAAAACCCAGATAAACCAGGCCCTAACTCCCTAACCTACAGAAACTATAACATAAAAAATGCAAATAGGACACTAAATGTGTAATCTGTTTTGCAGCATTAGATAAATGATGCAGCATTAAATAAAAAGGAAAGACTTATCCCCATACCCAAACCTCTAATAACCACACTTAACATTTTCTTCTATTTTAATCACTTTGCCACATCAACCCCTGCTCTCTGAACAGTTACATATTATAGCCTCCACTCTGGTCTGTGCCTACCTGGACAGTTTTCACAAAAGAACACTTGTGAGACCCAAGGGACATAAAGCACAGTACCTGTTGTCACATCAGGGCTTCAGGACAAGGCAATGTATAATTGGGGTTGAACATGTCCCAAGTGATAGTCATTAGTTCTTTCCTCCAACTACTCTTTTCATGACACCCAGGTGTGAAACACAGCCATTTGTAACTTGTAATAATTCCTTACTTCTTCACACTCTAGATATTTAATCAGTCACCACCTCCTGTTGGCTCTACAAGTACCTCTTAGATTACGTGTCTCTTCATCTCTATTCCTACTTCCTGCTTCAACATCCTCATCTTCTCTCTCTTCTCTCAGATGAATGCAATTGCATTGAAACTGGTCTCTCTGATGCTATTCTCTTCCTGCCACAGGAAAACTCTGTCCTAAAACACAAATCAGACCATGTCACCCCTGCCTAAAAACCTTTAATTCAGTGGTTCTCAACCTTCCTAACGCCGCGACCCTTTAATACAGTTCCTCATGTTGTGGTGACCCCCAACCATAAAATTATTTTCGTTGCTACTTCATAACTGTAATGTTGCTACTGTTATGAATCGTCATGTAAATATCTGATATGCAGGATGTATTTAGGCGACCCCTGTGAAAGGGTCATTCGACCTCCAAAGGGGTCTCGACTCACAGGTTGAGAACCGCTTGCTTTAATTGTTCCTTTTTGCCAATGGCAAGGTCCAAATACCTTAACATACCACAGAAGACTTCACAGTCTGCCCACATTTATTTTTAGCATTCTTTTTTTAAAATATATTTTAATGATTTTTTACAGAGAGGAAGGGAGAGGGATAGAGAGTTAGAAACATTGATGATGAGAAACATCGATCAGCTGCCTCCTGCACACCTCCCACTGAGGATGTGCCCACAATCAAGGTACATGCCCTTGACTGGAATCGAACCTGGGACCCTTCAGTCCGCAGGCCAATGCTCTATCCACCGAGCCCAACCAGTGAGAGCTATTTTTAGCATTCTTATCTCTCTTCTATCTTAGCCAAGGACTCGGTGCTCTGGATGGCTAAATACTCCCCAAACATGTTTGGAAACTTCTTTACTACTTGCTCACTTCGCTGTTTGTTCCTTAAATGTCCAGCCATACTTATCTCCCCAGAGAAACTTCTCTTAGATCCTAGCTCAACTGTTACCATCTCTGGAATGCTCTCTGAACACAGGAATACGCCAGAAGGACTTAGAAAACACCTCCACCATTCTCCTTATCACATTACATTATGACTGCTTGCATGTCAGTCTCCACTATGGATGACCCTTGGATGCTAGAACTCTCTTTCTTTCAGTCATCCAATGCCATGCACTCGTTGAGTCATAGGGAAAGTAACTTCTATAATCATCATTTGTCAAGACCTAATAAGAGACAGGCACTGCACTAAGTACTGAACGTGTTATTCATGCTTTTATTGAACAAATATTTACTGGGCATCTACAAAGCACACAAGTGACCACTCAGCTTAGCACAGGGCGACAGTGCACATAAAACAACGATTTAAATAACATCATTTTAGATACTGATGATGCTAAGAAGTTAATAAAAATAGGACAAGCCTGTAGAATGCCTGGGGTGAGAGGAACTAATTAATTATAGAGATTCAGGAAAAGCCTCTGAGGAAATGGCATTTGAGCTAATAGTTAACTGATGAGAAGACACCCACACAGAAAAGGGATTATTATATACTAGAGGCCCGATGCACGTAATTCGTGCAAGAGTAGGCCTTCTTTCCCCTGGCTGCCGGCATCGACTTCCCTTTGGCACCTGGGCTTCCCTTGCAGCCCTGCCTTCATCCGGAAAGTTGTCCAGAAAGACATCCGATCTAATTAGCATATTACGCTTTTATTATTATAGATAATTCTCACAACATGCCTTCTTAAGTAGAAGTTTTTATCCCCATTTTCAAGATGCTGATCTGCTAAGATCACAAGCTGAGTCACAGCTGGGACTGGAACGCAGGTCTGCCTGACTCTGGCTAAGGCTTTTCATCCGTTTGCCCGAATTTTCCGGCTGCTAGGCCTTTGCTCACTCCACTCCCTCTGGCTGAAATGCCCTTCTCCTCTCCAGCCCAGGGAATCCCTCCTCTTCCTTCAACAACTCACAAGTCACCCTCCAAGCTGCCTACCCTGATAACCGAGTGGGAAGAGCGTCTCCCCCCCGCTGATCATCTACTGCCCTTTGCGTTCTCATGAGACCTACATCTCCTGGTGGAAAGAAGTGAGTACACACACTGTTCTTTTGCTTGGGCAGCGGCCCTCTAATAAGCCTCATGTCTCTCACTGCATCCTCTACTCTGAGCCTCTATAAATCTTTGCTCTCAAAACTTACAGGAAGAATGACAAGTAAATAAATAAATGAAAAACATTCAGTGGGTGTACCAGATGCCTGAGGGCTTTCCAAGCAAAGGCCCAAGGAAAGCCAGGAAGATGCAGCAGAACAAGAGATGCTCTTAATGAGATAGCTGGATGCACACTGACCTGCTTTAAGCTGGCTTTTCATAAGCTGCGTCTGGGTTCCCTCCCCACAGTCAAAGAGCCAGCACTCGCCCTCACACCGCAGAACCAGAGCAGAGGCACCCCGGGTCGGGGATGGGTATGCCGCGCCTGTCCCCAGAAACGTCACATCCATGGACATCTTCTACCCTGCAATGGAAAGATCACCTAGGCGTTATTGCACATCACTGCTCAAAATCACCAAAAACGGGTTCCCCAGAGACTAACTGTTATTTAGGGCAGTGAAACTATTCTCCTGCGTGATGCAGTAGAGACAGGCATCATCGTTATACATTGGTCAAAACCCACAGAATGCACAACTCAGAGTGAATGAACCCTAATGTAAACTTCAGTCAGTAATAATGTAGCAATGTTGGCTCATCAACTGTAACAAACATACCACACTACTGCAAGATGTTAACAACAGGGGAGAGGCGTAGGGAATATAGCGGAACTCTGTACTTCCCAACCATTACTTTTTTTTAAGTCCTTCTAGTAAACAATAAACAGCAATCACCACTCTATTTGAGGTTCTGACATGGGATTTAGTTACATTTACTAAGTGGTATGCCTGGTGCCCACCATGATGAGCCCTTTCTCTGAATGATCATAAATAGAGCAATGCTCTACAGCATTTTCAACCAGTGCGCCGTGGCACACTGGCGTGCCGCAAGAATTTTTTAAAAATGCAATACCTATTTAGTCAGGGGTATTGGCCTCTTCCCCCTTAGATTGTCAAATAAAAAAAAAAAAATGACAACAGCCAACACAACAATAGCCATCCAGTGTGAATGAATCAAAATTATACCTATTTTTTATTAAATCAGCAAAAGATATATTTTTTGGTGTGCCGCAGAGTTTTAGTAATTAGTTTGTAAACCATGAGGTGAAAAAGGTTGCAATCGCTGCTCCGCAGCACTATAGTAACGCCAAGTGAAGGCCTCACTCCTCTAAGTAACAGGGTCCATACTGGTCAGGATCTGGGCTGCTGCTCTAAGTGATCAGCAATAATCTGCTGAGTGTGTAGATTTCTGCCAACTCCTGGCATCTCTTTTTCTTTTCACTGTTTCTGGGCACATCTGCCATCGCTGCTATACTTCTGTGATGGGAGATGTGCATCTAATAGAATAAATGAGAATAAACTCAAACTTGTACATAAACAATCATAGTTCATCCATACTGAGGGCTGGGAGCAAAAACAAAAACACAAAAAACATTTTAAGAAAAAATACTAAGATAAGAACATGTGATAGAGAGCTGGATAAATATACAAAATTGTCAATAACTTCTCTCAGTCTTAGCAATAACCAGATAAAAATAGAAACGGGAAAGATCTCATTCACAAGAGAGAAAAGACTTATAAAATCACTATAAATAACAGGAATTAAACAGGCTCTAAAAGACCCAGATGCACATTAAATCTCTTAATAAGACTTAGTATCACAGAAATGTTTTTTTTTCATAATTAGTATAGATATACTTAATGCAAATTCTGTCAGACTTCCAGTGACAGTAATCTTGGAACAAAAACAATCAAAAGATGGGAGAAAATAATGTCTGAGAATGGGCAAGAAAATTACATAAAACAGTAAGTAGAGAATTACCTTTTTAGATATTATACTTACTATACTAGGTAAGTGGGTATACTATAATTAAGAGAATAATATTGGCACAAAAAATAGAGGTGAAAGAGAAGGAATAGTCTAAAATAAATCTGGGAATTTATGAGAATTAATATGTAACAAAAGTGTAAAAAGGGTGACATTTAATAAGTAGCACTGATATAAATGGCTATTTTTGCAGAAAAAAAGTAATGCAAGATATTCACTTTGCACTGCACATAAAAATATATTCCATGAGGTTTAGAAATTTAAATGTAAGAGGTCCAATAAAATATGTTTAAAAATATTAGGAGAACATGTATATAATTTGGGGATTGGAAAAGCCCTTTTTAGCAAGATAGGAAATTAAGAAATTTCAAAAAACAAATAGACATTTTCACTATATATAAACTTTCATATATCAAGACTCAGAGTCAAAGGACAAAAAAAAAAAAAAAAAAAAGGCACCTGAAGAAAACTATTTACACTGTATGATAACGAGTTAATGTCCCTTGAAACAAATTCAAAATACCAAACATCTGATAGACAAAATATACAAAACCAAACCAAAAAACTGATACAATAGATAAATGGATATATACAGGAAATTCACAGAAGAAATCTAAACAACCAATAAGCATGAAAAGTGTTCAATCTCCAGGTAGAGGAAATGCAAATTAAAGAAATGAACACCATTTTTCCCAAATCCGCTGGCAAATATTAATGCTAGCCAGTGCTAACCAGAACAAGATTGGCATTCGTATGTTACGAGTGGACTGCTATTATGCTTTGGGAGAGTAATCTGGCAATATATATTACCAATAATAATGATGCTGTTAATAACAACACAGTAACCCAAAACTCCCATTTTTGAGAATCTACCCTACAGAAATAAAGGACTTATGTGTAATGGTGTTTATTGTGGTACGTTAAAGGTGGCTAAAATTTGGAAGCAAGATGAAAAAAAATCAATAGGGAAACAATTGAGTATTTTATTATACAGTCATGCCATGAACTATTTGTTCTGCAGCTAAGTCAGGCCTGTAACTCTTGTCCTGAAGGGATGACAGTGAGAAAATTTACAGATGGCTATGGTATGATCTCATTTTCATAACAATGTCCAAAACCCCCACATTTATATGAGACAGAGAAAGTCTGGTGTAGAGGATACACACCACATTGTTAATACCAGGGGTGACTAAAGTGGAGAGGGGAAGAGATTATTTTTTCTTTTAAATCTTTGAATTTTTAGTTGCAATAAACAGCATTTAATTTTTAAAAAATATATACTTTATTGATTTTTTACAGAGAAGAAGGGAGAGGGATAGAGAGTTAGAAACATCGATGAGAGAGAAACATCGATCAGCTGCCTCCTGCACACTCCCTACTGGGGATGTGCCCGCAACCAAGGTACATGCCCTTGACCGGAGTCGAACCTGGGACCCTTGAGTCCGCAGGCTGACGCTCTATCCACTGAGCCAAACCGGTTAGGGCAACAGCATTTAATTTATTTAATTTTAATTTATTTTATATATAACTAGAGGCCTACTGCACAAAATTCGAGCATGGGTAGGGTCCCTAGCAGCTGTCAGCTGCTGGCTGGGGCCTCCCTTTGCTCCGCGATGGCCTCTGGTGGTCAGTGCACATGATAGCAAGCAATTGAAATCCTGGTTGGTCAAACTCCCAAGGGGACACTTTGCATATTAGGCTTTTAAATATATATATATATTTATATATATATATATGAAGATTTATATATATATATATATGAAGATATATATATATATATGAAGATTTCTTTAAAAGTGATTATTTTTTTAAAAAATGTGTCATATGGCTGAACATGCTTTTCAAACTACAATTCACCTAATCTTCCTTTCCATTGGGGATACAGTCTGCTGCCCCGACTTCCCCCCACTCCCCTCACACACACACCTTACACTCGCAGATGGTAACATCTCTCTACCCCACACACAAGCCTTTAGGTTACTGCTAGTGTCCCTTCCATATGCTACTCCACACTTTCACTTCCAAGATCAAACCTTCCACTGATAATTAAGTAGTTTAATCTGCAGAGGTTTCCTATTAGATTGCAGCTTGCAAGACAGATAAGAATAAACAAAATTTAAAAAATTAAAAGCTAATAAATACAGGAGGAATAAACTATATATATATAAAAGCCTAAGCAACCATCGCAACCAAACGGACGATCGAACAGACTGTGTGGGGCGACCAGGCCAGCAGGGGGGTTAGCGAGGGACAACCAAATGACTAAGCAGCAGGTTGCAAAGATGGCGGCGCCCACAGCCAATAAGGAGGGGATATGCTTATTGACTGCCATGCCCTCAAAGATGGCGGTGCCCACAGCCACAAGATGGCAGCACCCAGTCCCCTCAGCCCTGCTAGGGCGGAAGGTGGCAGCAAGGCCAGGCCCGCCCCCAGGAGGCCTGGCCACTCCGCGCGCCTGCCTCCAGAGACCCCCAGTCCCCTCAGCCCCCCAGCTGCCCAGGGCCGGCCCGAGGCTCAGGTAACCAGGGCGGGCTGAGGCTTGCGCTGCTGGCAGTGGCAGCAGCAGAGGTGTGATGGGGGCGTCGCCTTCCACCCTGAGGGCTCCCGGACTATGAGAGGGGGCAGGCCAGGCTGAGGGAGCCCCCTCCAGGGCATGGATTTTCATGCACTGGGCCTCTCGTAGAATATAATCACTTTGCAATCCCTAAAAATAATGGATCTAGGCCAGTGGTACATAACCCTGGAGCATATTAGAATCAGCTTTTAAAACATCAATGATTGGGCTCCATCCCAGAACACTTAAACAGGAAATTCTGAAAGTGAGATATGTGTTTTAGTATAAAAAAATGCTTCCCCTGAGATTCTAATGTGCAGTCAGATTTGAGAACCACTTAATGAGAAGATAATGAAGAACAGAACTATAATGGATGGATCAGCTGACTTGAACTCACGCACTAGTCAATTTTTTAAAAACTTTTTATGAAAAATGTCAAACACACACAGAAGCAGAAATTAGTGTACTGTATTGCCATATACCCATTGCCGAGCTTCAGTAATTATCAACTAATTCATGGTCAATCTTATTTCATCGGTATCCCCTACCCATCATCCAAGATCTGATAAGTGTATTGGGCACTTCCATCAGGAAATACACACTGGCTGGCTGTCTCTCCTTTTCTGATGTGAACAGGCACTGGTGATCACTGCCAGAATCCATTATTTTATTCGGGTTTGCCAAAAAGTGGTGTTCTCTCATGCCTTCGGCAGTTATTAGCTGGCATCCTTCTGTAATTCCCTGGCCAATTATTTAGTTGTCCTGTGGTGCAATTTGTTATTTTATTTTATCCTCACTGAGGATATGCTTATTGATTTAGAGAGGATCGGATCCACACCCTTTTGGTGTATGGGGCGCTGCTCCAACCAACCGAGCCACCCAGCCAGGGCACCCTGTTGTGCAGTTTGTACAGAGTGTCCACTAGTCAATCTTAACACCAAGACAGACAAGACCTTATCTAACTCCCGACGCGATGCCATATGAAGGACATAGAAACCCGACCAGGTTTTCTTGCCAAAAAGTAGAACCTGAATCCTCTACGTCTGTCATCGAAACACCAGTTTACTAAAGGACCCCACAGGGAGGGAAAAAGCCAAATCCGGAATGTAGGAAACTTGACAGGACAAATGATTTGATTTCTTCAACAAGTCAAGTCTGTGTGTGTGTGTGTGTGTGTGTGTGTGTGTGTGTGTGTGGAGGAAGGCGTAATAAGGATGGAGGAGATAAAGAAATTAAAACAGAGATGTGTGGATCTTGATTTGGAGAAACTGATAATGGGTGGGGAAAAGGAGAATTGGGAAAATGTGAATATTGACTGGATAGGTGATCATATGAAATGCTTATTAGATTAATAATGGCTTTGTGTTTTTTAAAAAAGGAGTTGAACCCAGCCAGTGTGGCTCAGTGGTCGAGCTTTCAGGGAAGAACCAGGTCACAGATCCATTCCCAGCAGGGCACATGCCCAGGTTGCGGGCTCCATCCCCAGCAGGGGGCGTGCAGGAGGCAGCCCATCAATGATTCTCTCTCATCACTGATGCTTCTCTCTCTCTCTCCCTCTCCCTTCCTCTCTGAAATCAATAAAAACATATTTAAAAAAAAATAAAAAAGTTGTTTTATAAACATAAACAAGTATTTAACGGACGCGACGGCGCCTTTAGATTTGCTTTAAAGAACCCACTGGGGTGAGGGTAATAGATAAAACCAGGTTGGCCATGAGTCGGGAATTCAGTACACGATCTTATTTCCGTATGTTTGAAAGTTTCCATAATAACAAGTCACACACCAGCGAACAACAAACCAACTCATCATAACCCCTCTCCTGGGTCGGGAAGCCATCAGGTTTGTATTTACTGAATGGCGCGTTCTGAGACATGTGCCATTCATTCTAGACACGCGGCATTAAAAGGCACCAAACCCGGTTTGGACCCCATCTTCTCGGACAAAAAGCCCCGGCCGCCCGCTTTCTCCCGACTAGACCCTCCCGGACCGAGCGCACAGCCGCCGGGAACCCACACGGGCCGGCGGCTCTCGCCCGGCCGCCCCACGGCCACCGGCGCTTCGGGGGCCGGAGCAGGTGGGAGGTTCCCGGGCGACCCCACCGGCTGCGGGCTGAGACCCCGGGCGACCCCACGGGCTGCGGGCCGAGACCCCGGGCGACCCCACGGGCTGCGGGCCGAGACCCCGGGCGACCCCACGGGCTGCGGGCTGAGACCCGCGGCGCAGGCGGGGCAGACGCGCCATCTTCTATTTTAGGGGAGAAGGAGCCGGGCCGGGGGGCCGGGAGCCAGGCGCCCCTCCGAGTCGGTGTCGGGGTCCCCCACGGACCGGTGGGCGGCGGCAGGAGCGCGGGCAGAGGCGGCTCCCGCCCCCGGCGCTGGACGAGGCGCGCTCGCTCCGGGGCCTGGCGCGGGGCCCGGGCCGCGAGGCGGGAGGAAGCGCGCGCGCCTGGCCGCGCTGGGGGCCGCGGCGGCGCAGACCCTGCCCGCCCCCCTCCGGCGCGCGCGGCCCACTCACCCAGCCCGGCCCGGGGCAGCCGCGGGAGGCGCACCCGCAGCGAGGCCGGCGGTCCGCGGGCGGCGACGGCGCGGGCGGAAGTGCGCCGCCGGCTGGTCCGCGCGGCCGCTCTAGGACGCTCCGGAGGTCCGCGCTCGGTGGCGTCCGCCCGGCCCCTCCGCGGGGGAGGCGCGGGACCACTCCCTGGCCCGCCCGGGGGGCCCGCAGCGGTGCGCTGGGCGGGATGGTGGCGGGAACCCGTGCGGACCAGGGCGCCACGAGTGCAGACGTTTACTGTTCTGTTTTTTTGTTTTCTGTGTCATATTTTCAAACAGGAGCCTTGTCCCCGATGCTTTGCTCATGCACAGGTTTGTGTGATTTCCCTTCTTTCCTTGGGACGAATCTTTCAGCCACCAAACCTAAAACGTTCAGCTGGAGGCGCCCGAAGAGGAAAAAGCAGTGCGCTCTGAACCCAAGTTCACATCGCACTACTGTGGATCGTGAGCCTCGGCTCTTTCTCCACCTGCCGGTCCCGGAACGCACGGGAGGGCCTGCTTAGAACCTGCAGCCCCCCTAACCGGTTTGGCTCAGTGGATAGAGCGTCGACCTGCGGACTCAAGGGTCCCAGGTTCGATTCCGGTCAAGGGCATGTACCTTGGTTGTGGGCACATCCCCAGTTAGGGGGTGTGCAGGAGGCAGCTGATCGATGTTTCTCTCTCATCAATGTTTCTGACTCTCTATCCCTCTCCCTTCCTCCCTGTGAAAAATCAGTAAAATATATTAAAAAAAAAAAAAAAAAGAACCTGCAGCCGCCGGGCTGCACTCGCCACCAGCATTGCGGGCGTGTTCTCTTAGGTGTCACCCAGCCTGCGGTCAGATCTCATTCTGGTTAAATTCTAGCATTTGGAAAAAGTATTTCAAGCTCCCAGGCAGTGCCAGATGCGCTGATTTTTGCTCGACATACTCGAGCTGGTCAAAGTATGCAGTAGCCAAATATAAGCAATAGGGGAGCTATGTATGCAGGGTGTTTTGAAACTATCAGGGAGCGGAATTAAGAACACTGGCCTCTCCCCCACCTCACCCCACCCCACTGCTTTGCTCAATAAACCATTAAGTAATCCACTTTTTGGCCTCTTCAAAGCCTTTGTTTCTTCGAGTATTAATTGAGCTCCGACTTTGTGGATAGTATTATTTTGATACTGAGAGCATTTTAAAAATATGTCTTAGCCCCTGGTTTTAGGAGCATACACTGAGATTGGGAAAAACTGTTATCAGGAAACAACTAACAATATCAGGGAACAAATGACAAGCCAAAGAAGTGATAAGAATATGGAAAAAGGATCACTAGCCATGAGATCAGTTAAGAAAGGTAGGACTTGAGCTGGGTCTTGTAGAATGGTTGAGACTGAATGTTGTAGTAATGGAAAAATAAGGTGGATTGGCGACATTGAGACTGATTTAGCATAGCATTAAACATGGAACGTAGCAGAAAACTTGAACTGTAGTTATCCTGATCTTTGCTTAGCTAAGAAGTGCTCAAAAGAACTAGCTCATTCTCCAGCTAGCTCTTGATCGCAGCTCAGTTGGGGTCCCCCACAGCAGTGCCTTCCATAACCTGTCCATTCTAGAGGTTCATGGTTTGTTCCTGTCCACCTATCAAAGCTTCCTACAACTGCTTAGAAGTTATTACATTTTTAGAAAATTGTGGATAGAAATTTAGTTCACTTTTAAAATTTTCCATTTTGGGAAATTTTATACGTACACAAAAGTTGAGAAAATGTTGTGTGAACCGTTTAGGTATAACCATCACCCGCCTTTAATAGTTAGTGACATCTGGTCCATCTTTTTTTACCTAAAACCCCTGCACCTCCAAAAGCAACAAAACCCTGGAATATTTTAAAGCAAATTCCAGGTACAATATCATTTTATCCATAAATAATTCTGTATTTAAGGATCCTTCTTTAAAATTTCATCACTACATAATGATGGCAGGCAGTCCAGTGCATAAGTAGAAAAGATAGGACTTAAAAAATACAACTATAATATCATTATCATAAAAATACAATAATTTAATAGCATCAAATCCAGTTACTGTTCAAATTTGCCTGATCAACTCATAACATTATTGGTTTTAGAGAGAGACAAAGGGAGAGGGAGAGAAAGAGAAACATTGATCGGTTGCTTTCCACTGACCCACTCAGGCCAGGGCTCTCAACTCATAAATTTTTTTGAATATATTTTATTGATTTTTTTTTACAGGGAGAGGGATAGAGAGTTAGAAACATCAATGACAGAGAAACATCGATCAGCTGCCTCCTGCATACCCCGCACTGGGGATGCCTACAACCGAGGTACATGCCCTTGACCAGAATCGAACCTGGGACCCTTCAGTCCACAGGCTGACGCTCTATCCACTGAGCCAAACTGGTTAGGGCTCAACTCATAACTTTTGAAGCCTATTTATTCAAGTCAGAAAATTAAAATATAAATTTTAAAAAACTAAAAAGCTCTTTAAAAAACTTAATTACAATGTTATCTCACCTGAAAGTTAACAATAATTCTTTTTTAAAAAAATTCTTTTAATATATTTCTTTATTGACTTCAGAGAGGAAGGGAGAAGGAGAGAGAGATAGAAAAATCAATGATGAGAGAGAATCATTGGCCGCCTCCCACACCGCCCCCCCCCCCACCCCACTGGGGAACAAGCCCGCAACCCAGGCATGTGCCCTTGGCCGGAATCGAACCCGGGACCCCTCAGTCCACAGGCGGACGTTCTATACACTGAGCCAAGCCAGCTAGGGCAACAATAATTCTTTAATATCTAATTTATTATATTCTTATCTACATTAATAAAATGGAAACATGCAAATTTGTGTCACTCTGCTACGCCCACCAGCCAGAGTGACTATGTAAATTACCCAACAAAGATGGCAGTTAATTTGCATACGCAGGCACGGAGTGAAGACTGAAGGCTCCGGCCGGAGTGAAGACTGAAGACTGAAGAGGCTCGCTGTGGCCGGAGGGAAGAAGCCAAGCCTCGCTGCGGCCAGACCAAAGGCCCGGGTCCCGGGTGCCGGAGGAAAACCGGTGCCGGCAGCCAGGGGAAGGAAGACCTATTGCATGACTCTCCTCATGCAACAGGCCTCTAGTTTATAAATATCATATTCAAATTTCCCTAATTATCCCCAAATATCTCATATGTAGTTGGTTTGTTTGAGTCAGGATTCAAAGGATTACACATTGCATTTGGCTGAAGTCTCTTAAGTCTCTTTTTAAGCTTAATAGTTTTTTTCTTCCTCTTTTTTCTTGCCATTTATTTGTGGAAGAAACTGGGTCATTCATTTGTTCTGTAGAATTTCCCAAACTGGCTGATTGTACCTCCACAGTATCATTTAACATGTTCCTCTGTCCTCTGTGTTTCTACCACATGGGACTTAGATCTAGAGGCCTGTTCTGATTCAGGGTCTATTTTTTGGCAGGTCGGCTTCATAGGTGATGCTGAGTACTTTCTGATTTAGTCTTCTAATAATTAGGGTCTTGGAATATATATGTGCTGGGGGTGAGAAATAATTCCTTTACTGCTATGATTAAATAAGGAGAGAAATAGAGTAGGAAGCTGAACAAAAGGAAATAAAAAGATGAGGAACTCGACTAGTGCTCCACTTACGAATTTAAGTCTAACAATATATTCCCATGGGGTCAAATAGTCTGGGAGGGGTGTGTGTGTATGTGTGTGTTTTAAGGTTTAATAATACCAAGTTTTAAAAGTGCCTTATATACAGGGGCCTTTAAAAACAGGGTCATGGGGTGGTGAACACATAATACAACATACAGATGATGTTTTATAGAATTGTACACCCGAAATCTATATAATTTTATTAACCAATGTCACCCCAGTAAATTCAATAAAAAGCAAAAAAAAAAAAAAAATCAGTCACATTTTCAACAGTTGAAAACAATAAAAGCAAAGTCATAATGCATTTTTTATGTATAGGAAAATTTTATTAAGAAAATACACACATCTCATTACAATATATCACGAAAGGGAAAAAACAATTCACATCTTTATGAAGTTTTTAGACTGATTCCTGGAACCGCATGTAACAAGTTGATCTGGTATAATATACTGCTCTACATAAGGCATTCCCCTTAACTAGCACTCCCATAAGCAATTACTGCAAGACTACCCCATCTCTTTATCTTTTATAAAAAAATATTTTTTTGATTTCAGAGGGGGAGAGGGATAGAAACATCAATGATGAGAATCATTGATCAGCTGCCTCCTGCACACCCCCCACTGGGGATTGAGCCGAAACCCAGGCATGTCCCCTTGACCAGGAATCGAACCGTGACCTTCTGGTTCAGAGGTCACTGCTCAACCACTGAGCCACACCGGCTGGGCTCTTTATCTTAAATATAAAGGTGAGAAAGGCTAAGCCGTGACTTTTGCAACTTGTGGTTTCCTTGAAGTCAATAATTAAAGCTGGGTATGTTAACACAATATCAATTGCAAAAATATGGTTTTAATTTCAGTTAGTTTTAAAGGTCATTAGATAATAAATCCTTAGGCAAAAATTTTACCTGGTCAAATATTTAGCTAATATTGGTCTCTTCAGAAATTCGTTATTCCACACATACATATTAGTACTTTCTAACTGTTCTCACCTTTTAATAACGAAGTTATATATGTGCATATAATACAATAGATATCATTTAAAATAAACTTTACAATTCAAATTCACATTGACTTTGGCAGATTCCTGAAACCAATTTGCCCCAAAGTGATAGCAGTTGGTGGTTCTGTGAAGATGACCAAATCAAAAGATGTTAGTGAACTGGCTACTGAGAATGTTGTAATTTATCATATTCAAAACCACATCTTTTATGTTACTGTGCAATACCTAAAGTGCTGAAGACTAATGTTTACATTGTATTTGAGTTATAAATGGGAACAAAGTAAAAATCAAATGAACTGGTAAAGTGCATTAAAAAGGACCTAAGACTAATCTTATAAGATTAGGCTGGTTGCACAGTGGTTAGTGTTGGCCCTCAGACTGAAGGGTTGTAGGTTTGATCCCGGATCCTGGTCAGGAT